GAAATATAAATACTGCATGAACTTGGATTCAAGTCCAACTCTTGTGTTATTTATGTGAAAATTGTGTTTAATTGTTTATCGCCACATCTTTCGGAGCGTGTGCGCAGCACTGTGGGCTAATTAGGGGTTGCCACGTTGATCCAACAACTTGTTAAATTAAAAGCTCATGAATGAATAAAGCAATCGTTTCCAAAGGTTTGTTAAAAATATCTCAGCTGTGAGAATAATAATTGATTAACTTTTCCACTATTTGAGCATAAATCATCACAGATGAAAACATAAAATCAATACCCATTTACTGATATAAATCACACTTACAGTAATTGATAAATTGATTACAACACTAAAACAGATCAGCATTCTGTGTTTCTCTCAGCTGATTCCAGTTAAAATTTTGGCCTGCTATTTTGGTAAATAGCTGGACCTGAACCAGCCAGACAACATTAAGATTTTAAATATACATGTTGTCTAATGTTTGTACTTGCATTAACAGACCGGTCAGTCACTTTGGTAGTGGTCCTGTATTGGGTACCAGTCTTGCAGCCCTTTTATTTATATTTAATTAGCTTTAAACTGCAGAATCAAGTGTATATGGTGCCCTGTAACTGCATAAACAGACTGAAACTCCCCTTTGGCTCTGTAATACCTCTCTGTGGCGTTTTAGTGACACTGCTCCACTGTGATCATTTACCAGCACTCCAGATATAGTGTGTCCATGCCAATGCTAATACTATAGTGGTTAATACACCAGCTGAATTCCTGGTGGCTGTGATGTGTTCATTACCAAATTCATAAGGCAGTCAGTGAAGTGAGCGAGCATGTAATTAAACCGTTCCCTGACCAACTAGAACCTGAAGTAGTTTCCAGTTAAGTGTGCGTAAATGGTGCTGGTGCCAGGCTGTACAGGCTTGACTCCAACTTCATTAAACTCTTGGTTTAGGGGCTCACAGCAGGATGTCTGTTAAAATATTTATATATCATATAATGTTATACACTTAATAAACAACATTTTTGTTGTTCCTGTTTATATGTGTGTTTGTGAGTGTGTCCTGGTTTGAACTATTCTTGGTTCCAATCTTTCACAATCAATTAAATACTTACTAACATCAACATGTATACTTGGTGTTCTGGAGCAGAAAGCTCATACATCAAACTTTTACAAAGGAAGATATGTAATTTATTCAGGGGCAGGATGTCAGTTTGCAGGTCTAAAGTATAAGAAGTCAACATCTGTGCTGGAAAACACCAACAGTAGAGCTACAGTAGCTGCACCACAGCGACCTCCTTTGGTTGGTGGAGAAACTAGCTAGACCTTAAATCCCAGCTTAAAATATTCATCTTTTGTTTACGTCATTTCAATTTTTCCTAATTTCATCTGGAGGCTTTTGCCTCAATGGACATGTACTGAAACAATGGAGTAATTTGAATATGAGCAGCATCAATGAATCATTCTGACATTTTCAAGATAACCTAAAAGTATCCGTGCATTAGGTAGATGGTTCATCATTCTCATTTGATTAAAACCCCATTCCCCCTGGTACCCCGTCCATTTAAACTTATCATAGAGGTGTCCACTTTCATGAATCAATGAGGATAAAAAGAAAGCATTTATCGATGTGTTATACTGTATGTAATGATCATCATGGGGAGAGTCATAGTCTAAATTTGACCCAGTCCTGCAGTTTTTTATTGACTAGTTACAAGACATATACAGATTCCTTATCAGGGCAGTGGAGCAAAGTTAAACCATGAGGCCAAGGCTCCAAATTTAAACTAGCTAACCTAAAATAGCTGCACTCAGGTGTGAATTTTAGTAACATTGATAGCGATGAATGTAAATGACAAGACACTTTTCCTAAATTGAGAGATGTTAAAGTTCAGTTTGTTGTTGGTGATTATCAATCAGAAGTAGAGTGCCACTATGACAAACATGACAATGGAGGCCACACTACAAAGTCACAGGAGAAAAATGAAGATTTTAGTAACCATGGATAAGGACCATGACCAGGGATAGCAGTCTCCCATAGCGATATAGTCACTGGCTTAAAGGCACATGTAACCTTTTAGAGAGAATGATTCTAAAGAAAGGCTCCTCCTGTTTTTTTTTTTTTATTCATTTGTTTTTTTTTTTAGAAAGAGAGAGACTCGGACAGATTGAAAATAAAGTGGAGATTAAGGGTCTCTCCTGTTAATCGTCTGAAGCTTACAGTACTTTGAGTTTCCCATGGTGACAGAGTAGGGTACAGTCTCCTGCATAGTGGATGAGCAAATGCATGGTCACAGGTCTAACTGCTGGTTCTTTGTTGACAGCAGCTTTCATTTAGTTTCTTATCTGTCACATCAAGAATAACATTTTCATGATGGGCATTAAGTCTGGACTTATAAAGGTTGAGGAAAATGTTACAGTAATACAACAGTCATGGAAGATTAATGCGGCGTTTAAAAAGGGGAAGTGGGGAACAAAAGAATATATTAAAATTCTGAGTGCTGTACAAGCACAATGTGTTTCATGGTATGCAGACTCTATGTTGGTGAGGTTTATGTTGGTACTGAATGTTTCTTATGTGTTAAAGTTAAAAACATATCCTGCTATGCTTCCATCTGTGCCCCTATCATTGCTTTCCAGAGCAAAACAACACAGGAGGTTAAAATCGACTACACACTTCTAAATTAGAGATCCATTTGTTTCTGTTTAACTTTATGTTCTTCCTACAGTGTGACAAAATGTATTCTATGCAGCATCAACTCATCATTTACTTAAAAATGTCAATTAGTTTGACTTGCAAATGTCTATTATTTCAGTCACCATTTAGCAAAACCTAGCTGAGTCACTGTGGAACAGACTCAAAGTCACTTTATGAACTTCTTTCAGGGCTTTTATCCACATCTAATGGTCTCCCTCAGCAGATGGATTTTTAAAATAAAAAAAATAAATTAATTAAGTCTGGTTACATATTTTTCTTAGTGTCAAAAAATCCCATGTAAGGACCAGAACTGATACTTGTAACAAGTATTTTCCATGCAGCCAAAGCCAAGCCTGAAGTAAGCAAGAGTCAAAAGCTCAGGCACGAGAGCTCTTGGTATTCTTAAAAAATATTAGGGGGTCTTGTGTTTCATAATGAAGACCTATGTCACTACTGTAAGTGCAGCTGATGGTTTTAGTCTCTCTATGGGGACTGCTGGAAATAATGTTAATATAGAAAATGACCGGCCTTATCCTTTAAACACTTCGGAAACATTATGGACTTGAGTTTAAATTACTTTATAAAACATGATATCATCCAGGATATTAAAACATCCTGGGTATTAGGTCCATTTTGAGCATTTAAGTCTCATATCTTTCTAGATGTGCATCCTCAACCACTCAGCTACTATGACTGCACATGTATTGAGTGAGGAGTTTAAATTTGATACGATGCTCTATCGTGTCATGATGCATGAAACACGAGATTCTGCATGAGGATAAATGACACTTTATACCAAATCATTATTTTATGTCAACTCACCGCCCTCTGTGGTGGCAGTAACATATAGCAGTAAATGGCTGACATATTATTTTCTTTTTGCACCACAGCTATTTTCTGTCTTACTTTGCTGCTCTCTGTGTGTGTGCTGTATTGCTGACAGCTGGGCCTGTGAAGTGATTAGAATTACACAATTATTCAATAATCAGAGCTTTGGCCCTGCGTGGTTTAATAGCTTGAACATTTCCCTCATATTGCCAGGGTTAAGTACTCATTCACTATTGAGATCACACATGCAAACCTGTATTGTACTTGGCTGTTAGACTATAATAGCTTCTAGAATGAGCGGCACTTGTTCTGTATAGTACTATTGAAGGGATAGCATTGTACTGTTAATATTTTCCATGAAATAAGTGATCATAATCTGCATAATTTTTCAATGAGCATGTTACATATTCTCTTTTGAGAAGAGATAGTTGTACAACTTTGCCCTTGTGTTGGTCTAAATAGGACATCAGACTCACCACTGGCCTCAAAGCAGCAGGTAGTAAAGGCTTCACAATCAGGAAGGACACTTTTAACATCAGCATGACCTGCTTTGTAGAACAAAAAGGATGAACCGCTTCACACTGGAAAAAGATAGAGCTCACGGTCATCTGAATTTACCCCCAAAGTTATAGTTTGGATCCAAACTAGGCTTTATAACTAGACGTTATAACTACTCTAGAGAATAATTGAACTTTAATAACACAAATATTATTACTCTAAGATAAAACATTTCGTTCACTGTGAAAGAAACAAAATGGAAATATAGTTGAATATTCAAAATCCATTTAATGTGTTATATTTCACTGTTTGGTGTAATATTATGCTACAGTACATGGTCATTACTTGTCTCAGTATGCTTATACATACTGGATCTAACGAGATCAGAAGAAAAAATAATAACGTTTGGGAAAACATGGATGATTTTGCAATTATTTTTGTTGTATTTACACATATAGCAGTTGGATCTGTGTTACCCTAAAGGATGAGGAAGTAAAGCCAATACCAACAAAACGCACAAGTTAAATAAAACAGATGGGACCAGAGGTGTCAGAAAACACATCTGAATGAAAACATAATGCTGCTCTGTCTTTTACTGCCCTGAGACAGTTCATACTGTATGGCTGTACTGCACTGTATTTCATTTCCAAACAGTGACAATTAGTCCGTTACAGTAAAGCAGCAGATGGTGCCTGAGATAAAAACGGGCATCTCCTGCATTATGTCTCAGTAATCCAATTCTACTAGATGCAAGTTTTGAGAGACTGCAGGGGGAAAAAGTGGTTTGGCAAAGGCCCTGCGATCTGTTGAATGTAGAGTTTGTTTGAGGGGTGAGAAAATATGTCATTTCAGAGTCGTGGTTTATTCCAACGTAAGAGAGTGCTCACCAATGAGAGGCTTTTACGCTCCACCCTACCTGCCTCCTTTCCGCTCCCCCCTCCCCTTTCCATCCTCATACCCACTACTGAATACGACCTGCCGCCTGCCACATCTGGAGAAGCTTCCGAAGACGCGAAACTTTAACTTTTGTCTTTGCTCTGCGCAGAAACACTCGGGCGTTTGCGAATTCAGGGTGACTTTGGCTTTCTCTTTGATAGTAAGTAGAGATTCATGAAGTTGGCGTTTCTCGTTTCTCAGAGCTTTTCGGTAATCGCTGTCCGTTTGGGAGTTGTATACATTCATTCGTTTTATAGTTCAGCACGTTTTCTGGAAATAATATCAGTGACTTATTTACACGGTGTCCGTTCATTAATGAGTAAAAAAACAAGCGTAACCCAGGAAATTGAAGTACAGCTGTGCATGGATTGAGATAATCCATGCAAATCGACTAGACAAATCTGTGAAAAGTTTGAAATTTCACGGTCTGTCCTGTCACCGAATTGTCGTTTACCGCTGAATGCTCAGAGTAAAAACCCTGTCTGAGCTCCTACATGGTCCACAACCGTCTGAACCATAGATAACTGTGTTGATGGTGACATGAGCCAGGGGGGAGTCAAGTTGTGAAATTCAACAACAACTGGTGATGGAGTGACACATTTTGGGCTTACTTGTTGTCCACCATTAATCTAACATTTGGAAGAAAGCGCTGGAATAAGCCATAAGGCGCACAGCTCCATACTGAAGTGTTTAAGTTAGTCTGAGGGGAAATTTAAAAGACCTAAAAATACAGCGTTGGTTTCTTCCCTACAAAGAAACATTTGAACTTCCCACCGCAGAGCGAGAGCAACATAAATAGTTCTGACATGTGGATGTAATTTCAGAAGAGGAAAAAAAAGACAGATGCAGAGAAATAAAGGGAGCGCGTTGAACCTGAGTATATAGTAGATTATAGGAAATTAAATCGAGGGCAGAGCGAGGCGCGTACAGAGTTATGATTTCACAAGCAGCTGTAAGCATCCAGAGGCCAGATGGAGTAGAAAAACACAACTCGCTCCACTTTGAAGAGAGTTAAGCAGATTAAATTGTTTCATCTGAGCATCACCAGCGTCTTCTCGAGGCCAGCAAGGACTCTGGAAGGTTGAGCCGCCTCAGGTCAGGGATGGGATCCGCTCTGCTGCTCCACAACCTGGACTTTCTCCTCGTCTCACTACTCAGCGGTTTATACCTGGTGAGTCATTTATATACACACATGCAATCATATATGTTGTGTAACAGCCAAAATGATGATGTTGTTGCACTTATGAACTGTAAAGATCCAGCGCTTCTTCTGTGCACATGACAGGGCTGGCATGTCTGGCCTTAGGTGATGCATGATTTCCATGCATGCTGGGGACAACAAGACACCACCTGAAAGTTCATTAAGACATAATGTTTATGATGATAAACATCTGTTTTTGATTTATATAATATCTGCTCATTGAAACACATTTACACTAGACACATGGCGATGTACAGTACTGTCAGCTTCATAGCTGAACTGAACAGGTTGGTGAAGGTTCTAATAACAAGCTGCTGTGAGCAGTGATTACACTCTTGTTCTATTAAATGCATCTTCCCACAGTTACATTACAATAAGACAGTGACTGTATGAAGCAGCGGCTGGTAACCCACAGCAGTTCCTGTAATAGACAGTGTTTGGTCTTTACTACAGATTGCCTGAACTGAAGCAAATCTTGCAATTAGAGCAAGAGTAAGTACTTCATTCACATCTCCAGCTTCACCGGAACAGTTTAACCCCTGATTCGTAGCGTAATGATTTACTTTTGTGCAACAGATTTATATTTGTGCTCTCATAGCTGTATTCAGAAGGCATGCTGCACACACACATACACACACACACACACTATGCAGGCTGAACAGTGCACCAACTTGGTTCTGTGTGTTTTGGCTGAGGCTGTTGTGCATTCAACAGGCAGTTCGCCCAGGCTCTGAGGTACAGTGCATTTTCCCAGTGATGTGGTCCATCACTGTACCGCAGTGGACCTCTAGGCTCATTGGTTTAGATGGCAGAGGAAAACAATTATAACATAGTGGTGTATTTATAGCTGATTCAACATTCAGTCATTATAAGGCTCTGTCTGTGAATGATGTTTACCCGTTTTTAAATTTGGTGTTTGCTTAGTCTTCCTCTCCACAAAAAAGTACTTTTTTCCCAAACTGCGACCAAACAGGACGTTGATTTCACTGAAAGCCAATGCAAAGATGGAAATTCTGTCTATGTTTAAAGAAAGAATACAAAGCTTTTTAAATTGAGACATACAGTCATCACACCACAAGACAGTACCACTTTCCAGAGGCTCAGTGTGTCAGTAATAATATCCTGTTGTCATAAATGCAAATATAGTACATACCAGTACCACACTATGAACTGGTTGGGTCCATAGGTGTTAACCAGCATTTTGTACCTGAGGGAAATTGACTGACCATCAATGAACAGATGAGGAATCTCAGCAGGCATATTGTAGTGACAGCTCACAGACACACTACTGCTTCATACAGCCTTTGTTCAGTGTGACTGGTTGTCTCACTTACTTGGTTATCACATTTATTAAATGGAAGCACTGCTTTCAGGAACCTTAGTGAGCATTTTATTTCTACCTCACGACTGTTTTTCCACAGCCAAACGCTATGTCAACTCTGGATGAAGTATGGCTATGAGGACTCTTGTATTTTTTTAGAACTCAAAAGCAGCTTCAGCTACAGTAGTTTGACAAAATGTGCGAAGTAGTTGTCGTTGACAACTTTCTTTTTTGCAAAGAAAAAGGTTTGTGTTGGACCTTAATACTCAACCATGAATTTCACATGTTGTCAAAGTAACGCTAAACTGAAATGACAGGTACAGAACTGCCCATAGACAAAAAAGTTCAGTTTTCTCAGCAGAAAACAGTTAATTTGATATTCATAGACATGATAAATCAGGTTGACGCCACATAATTATGATTCTAGTTTGTTTTATCACAACACATGTAACAGGAGGCAAATGTGCCATAATATGCACACAGAACGTAGCTTTTTATATTAAACCACTGCCCTACTTTTGCCCTTTGTTTATCATTTAAAAGCATAATGATCCTAAAGAGCACACACTGCACGCTCCTCATCTCAGTTTGTCTCTGGTAATTAGGAGCAGCAGATAACTTCCCACTAATTCATAAGAACCGCTTGTGGATTTGTGAAATAGGCTTTAATATTAAAATTAATTCTTGCATGCCCGCCTGACTGATGTTCAACATGGCTTACTTTGTGATTATTTTTTTTTCTACTTCTGTATGTGTCTGAAGGAATATGAAATGAGGCATCTCCTTAAATGTTTCACACAGATTAACTTTTCACTGAGTAATTTAGACAAAACTGTTACAGTTTGTTTGATTGCCTCTTCTAATTATGCTTTGTCTGGAGAGATATTTAACTTTCTCTAATAACAGATGATGTTCCCAGCCATGCTCTATAGCTTTACGCAGGGGCGGATCTAGAACATTTTGGACTGTGTAGCCAGGCTGGGGCACAGACTCAGTGAAGGGTGGCACATTTGAAATGCATGCCAAAGGTAAATTAAACTCCTAGTTCTATGAAATAATAAACTATACATTATTAAAAATCAAATTGCTTACTTTAGGTAAAAATGAGACACACATAGAGCTTTCTTTAGCTAACTTTGGGTGTGCTCCTTATTTACCCCTGGCTGGGGACATTGCTGCTGCACAGTGGTTCCAACCACATGACAAGTTCTCCAACAACAACACAGTCAGAGAAACAAACGCAAATATCATGCTGCATGTATGATATAAAATAAAACCAATTTGACCAATATCAACTACAAGCAGCAGAAAAATGTTAGTTGTATTTAATGCAACAGTGGTTCATAGATTTTTTTTATTTTAATTTTCATTCATTAATACTGGCAAGCATCACATTTTGACTCTGGCAAGGGTGGCACCTGGGGTGGCCAATGAGATTCAGGGACTGGCCAGTGCCCTTTGGCACCACCTATAGGCCTATGTGATATGTTAATTTACCAATCAGAGCTCACTGCCCTCCTGCTTCCATAACAATTACGCAACTGTAAGGAAGCCTCCAGTCTTAGCATCATCTGTTTTCTTACTTTATCCAGTTAGTTCCAGTTGGGATTGTTAGGATCCATGGAGCAGATTGCTAATTGTTGCTTGCAGAGAAGCTACAGGCCAAGCCAGTGAAGGACTGACCATCTGTCTGTGAGAATCCACCAAAGTCCAAACAAACAGGCAAGCAAAATGCTTGTTGATAATCAAGAATAAGGAATTACAAGGAACATTATTTGGGATATATATTATATTTTCTAAGATATCAGTGCCATTATTGGGATGGTTTTATGGGTGGTTTTACCTCAGAGTTTTGCCTGAAAAAGGTTTCTCAGTCACACACAAAGCAGGCTGTGAGCTTGAGATTAGCCCTAAAATAGTTGTGGCATATTTGACTTTGATACCAATTCTCCAGGCAGGGGAAGAGTGAAGCTTCTCTCATTATAGCTTTAATTAGGCATAGGGTTTTCTTCAAGTAGGTGATTCCCACTGTCTTTCCAAAGAGCAGACTCCTGATAGTCATATTACATAATAATGTTTGGCTGTTTGTGGAATTTAATGTTTAGTGTGTGTACCTCATTACCAGGGCTCACGTCACTCATAGTTATTACTATGGCTAAACAAAGGTCAAAGGAAATAAAAGTTTAATTAAACAAGAGGCTGATAGAGAGAGTTAGATGTCAGAAAATGTTTTTGCGCCATCATCTAATATCATCAAACTATTTTTGGTGTTGTGCAACAGCTGTCCTAAATGTGTTATCTCATCCAAGTTAATTTAATTAAAGTTGCTGTAGAGACAATTCATCTGTGGTGACTCTCCATCTACTCCTTGAGGACTGCAGATGTTTTATGTTGGATTCACTTCAGACTGTTCTCTCCATCACAAAAATTACACAACCGCTGCTCTAAATTTGTGCAGAAAACTACATTTAAAGTGAAGATACAGAGGCTGTTTGATAGGCCACTGCTAATGCCAGCTGCCTCCCTGACCTTCAGCCTGTAGTCAAGTGTGTTTAACAGTGTGTTGTGTTTTTTTGTGAAATCCCAAAAAATCAGTCACCATCATCTTAGAACTCACATCACACTGATTTCTGAGAACAGAGCCCGAGGTTTGCTATGCTCACATTCCCTTTGCTTCAGAATAAGCACAGATAGCAATATACAGTAATAGAATATAAGAAGCTGGTAGGGCTTAAAAATAATTGAATATTAACATTTATCAACTTTTAGCCAGATCTTCACTGTCATGTTGCTGAGGGGTGAGTCTAATAGCTGTGGGACACAACTTATGAAACTGTGTTTTGTAGCTTATGTATGTTATATATGTTTCCATTTTTGGCATCATTAAACTATACTGAAGGAGCTATTAGCAATTCTTGTTTGCAATGATGTAAAGATAATGCTAAATTATATTAATGCCAATTATAGGATTTTATGACAACAAGAAGGCTGGATCCATGGAATTCATTACAGTATTTTTATAAGCTTCTGCATGTTTGAAGTTTTAAAAGCCACTAAAGAACTTGCGACGATTACTATTAGTCTGGGGTTGGTGAGCTTCGTCTGTAGTTTAACATAATCATAGCAGTAACTGAGCTTTTATGTCTTAGTACTGTCATACTCTGTGTGGAAGCTTCTCTCTATAGAGTCATCATCACAGACTAGATGTGAATTAACAGGTGACAACAGGTCAGGAAAGCTTTTAAAGTTATGTTTGAGGTGTAGTTATGGATAGCGCCGTAAGCACAAACTCTGCATAGACAGTCCACAGACACCTCACTGACTTCATCCAATCACTGAAACACAAAAAAATGATATGTTGACACTTTCAGCTTTTAGAACATCATGTAACTGTGTGTGATGGACAGTGAAGACTGTATGTCAGCAGAATTATTTTATATAAAGCTGAAGGATTTGAAAGCGGCCATATTCTGATATTTTTACTCACTGTCATTAAGATGAAACTCATCCATCTAAACAAGATTATGCGGTTGGCAGATTTGAGACATCCCGTTTTGTAATTTGGTTTTACAACACATAGTGTGGATTTAAGCAGCACAGAGGTGTAAACTCTGTATCAGCTGCTGGCTTGTTGCCTAAATCTTCTTGG